CATCATATGCAAAGCCCTGAATCATTGTTTACTGGTCAGCGCTCGTCAACAACTCGTCACGCACTTCAGCACAGCGCTGACCAGACGAGCCTCTCAAGGACGCTGAGCGCGGGTCAGTTGACCGCATGCCGAAAATACTTTGCCCGCACAATGAGCAGCCAAGCTTTAGCCCTTTTCTTCCTTTCCTAACTCAATACCACACAGGCAACCGAGAGCACCAGCATAATCAGTGAGCGAGTAATCAAAACCCTGACAGTCAGACGCAGCCTTTAAACTAACGACCTTTGAAACACCTTCCACTGAACCAGCAGGGCGTGTGACGCCGGCTATGAGTGAGCGTTTCTGAGACGCACTTCAATTTGATTTGCGTTTCGCCGTAACAGGTAGTGCCTGTTAACTGATCCGTACAGAAACTCTCACAAATCAAAACAAAACTTAAAGTGCTTTAAGTTTCATTTTGGATTTGTAGGAGTTTTTAAAGAAATTATTTAGCAAATAGCAAATCTTAACCCAATTGTAGTCGACCAGCCAGGACATATTTAGGCCCAGTCTCATTTCACCCCTCGCCCCTACCACTGAGCCCTTAGCCCTCCGTTTTGCGAGTTCATGCCTAGGATTAGGGTGGCCCAGTTGTTGTTGAGATAGAGGGGTAGGGTGAAGTGTTAGGGCTGCATGACCTCCAAACAGAGGTTTTTCAGAGACTCCAAACAGAGAGTTATGAGAAAAAAAGAAAAACCGGCAAGACGGCTGAACAAGAGACCAAAGAAACCCACAAATGTGAGAATTTACTCTGTTAAAAATTACAATAACCATCATATTATCTTAGTTTAATGTTGTTTCAGTGTATTTTTGTCGTTTTCTTCATAATAAGCATAAAGAAAGAATCTCTAACTGTATGCTAATGTCTCGGTAGCTAGCTAGCTAACTTTTCCGTTCCACCTTAAATAGTCCAGTAGTTCTGACGCCTGAAGCGACAGAATGTAACTGCTGCTCCATTTAAGGTGGAACGGGAAAATTCGAACAAGAAGCTGGTGAATATCTGACTTCAGCTTCATATCACTGAAGAATTAGGGGTGGGTGATAATAAATAATTGCCCCCCTCTTTGAAGGCATATGATGCCCTAAATGTAACTAAAGCCCAGCAGTGAGGAGCTGAACTTTGCCCTCCTCTGCTGTCACTGCAGACTGGCAGGGTCGCCTACAGAGCAGCGCTGGTAGCTGTTAATGAAGTGATGCTCTTTTTATTTGAGGGTCCCATTCAGAGGGAAGATTTCAACCACTACGCCTTGTAACTCAGTTCCAAGGGGTTTAGGGTGACACTCGAAAACAAGGGGTAGGGGTAAAGAAATGGGATTGGGCCTTAGTGTCTGAAGTAAGTTCTACACAGGAAATATGAGGCTAATGTGGCTAACAGTTAATGGACACTTATAGCCACCAGTTAGCATTGTGCAAACTGCATGCCTAAATCATCACACACTGGCCTCAAACTGTGCCAAGTATCTCAATCATTTAAATAAGTGCTGATATAATGCAAAATATTGTTCATCTGTTCTCTTCACCTTTTAATCATTCCTTTTGTACAGTCGTTCTAATATATGGTCACTTCAAAAATGTATACCAGGGGTCGGCAACCCAAATATCCTTTCAACAAAAATCAGACCACCTTGGGAGCCACAACATTTTATGTCCTTTCTTGGCTGTAAATATGTCTCAGTATGTGTTAACAAGACTTACTTTGCTCTGCTTTAAGCTTTAGCTCAGCTATAGCAGCTTTTCTCGCATCTCCAGCAGGAAACTTTTCCTTAAAAGTAGAACAGTTTCTTGTAAAATGTCTCTCAACGTTCAACTTTTTACAAGGCTGAAGTCGCTTTTCTTTCGCCAGCTTTTTGTCCGAAGGTGGAACGGGAAAATTGAAGCTGGTGAATGAGAAACTGACTACAGAGTTGCAACTTTGTAGTGTTGGACAGTTTCTCGTTGCAGATTAAACGTATCAGGAAACCAGCTGGAGTGATTATAAATGCAAATAAGTCCATTTTTTGCGTTTTCGTTAGCTACTAGCTAGGTGAGACTGTTGTCTGTGTTGCTATGGTGACCAGCAGTCTGCGCTGATCTTCAGGGTTGAAGGGTGAATTAGCAGTTCTACATTAACTCCAGAGTTTAAGACCATTTATTGTTAAAACTGTGTTGAACGATCAGCAGAGCTTTATTTTACTGTAAAGGAGGATTATTTTATTTTTACCTACAAATCTAATTCTGCTGTGGAGCCACAACAGAGCGGTAAAAGAGCCGCATGGTTCCGATTCCTGAACTATAACTATTAACCATACAGCATTTTGCAACAGTCAGGAACTTTTATTTATTTCATTTGCAGTCAAAACGGCCATTAAGTACAAGTTATTCATTTTTCAGCATCTGGAAAAAAAGCAGAAAAACAAAAATGATGCAGAAGCCTCAACGGCTAAACATAACTTCCAATTTGTCAGTTTTAATTGTGTCCACCACTTTTTCAGGGGACGCATTTTCCACTTCTCACAATCCAAATAATCCCGATTACAAATTTAAACTCATCAGTCCATAAAATCTCCACATCTCAGAGATCCAGTTTCAGTGCTTCAGTGCAAAATTTCTTTTTTTATCTGTTTCCTTTTCTCAGTAACAGCTACACATCCTTTCAGACCCACAGTGCTGAGTCGTCTTCTCACAGTGGAAGGATGGACAGAAACACCTGTGGATGTTTTCAGATCTGAAGCAGCTTGATTTTCTCCTCTCTCTCAGAGATGAAAGCTTTAAGTGCTGTTTATCTGATGGGGGCAGTTTTGGGGTCGACCAGGTCTTCCAGGTGGTTGTTAGGAGCCCACATTTTCTCTGTAGCTTTTAATCCGTTTTTGAGCTCCAGTTTTGGAAACTCCTGTTTTTTCCTTTGACTTTCTTCTTTCTCATGCAAGTGGACTATCTTATATCTAATCTCCCCAGAAATACCTCCAGGAAAAATGAGCAATTTGTAATTAATGGCTGTTTTAACTGGAAGTAAGGGTGGTCTCTGACTGGTGCGCAGTATTGCACATACTTTGAGCGCCACATGAAAAGACGACAACATAGATGTTCACTCCGGTGAAGAACGCTGGGGTAAACGCAGACGAAACCAAGACACTCTGGTATGTGAGATCTGCTCCAGTAGAGAGCAAAATGGACGAGCTTGTCCGGTAGAAGAGAGTCAACATGCCAGTTTGGCAAAACAAACTTGAAGAACACTGGATGTTAATAGTGTTGCATGCTGTCTGTGCAGGATACAGTTATAAATTATCATTATAAACTATTAAATAATATTAAAAGCAAGGACAGTTGGTAATTATATAGTAATTACACAACCATCGGGGAAAATGCAAACAGGGTTAAGCTCTATAATGATAACATAGTTTATGATGATAGTTCTGCAGACAATATTCACAAAGGCAGGCTTATTTACATGTTTTATGACACTGCGGTCTATAAAAATGGCAAAAATAAACCATTCATTTTTATAAAGAACAGTCCGTCATGCACATTTCAGTCTTGGCTGTTTGACCACATTTGGATATAACTGTGTTATTAAACGTTTCCTTTAATTAACACAAAAGAAGCTGCTCATTTTTTCATTGCATTTCATTTCAGACCAAAGAAGAGGAGGAAAGCACTAAAACTGACACCCTAAACAGAGAAAGGAACGTTCACGCTAATCTGATTTTCCTCACTGAGTCCACGTTTCTCGGAAAAGTCAGTCAAGGCCGAGTTTCGCTCTTTCCACTGTTTGCGCTCCAGCCTGCTCACCTCTTACCGATCATTACATCTGTGTGATTCACAACAGCCCACACTGGAGAGCACAGAGGAATCAGTGGAAGGTGATGATGAGGTGTGTTATGCAGATGTTTGTGGTGTTGAACTGCGTCCACACAGTTCTGTATGTTTTGCTGGAGACGGCAGGTGCAGCGCGAACGCCGCCAGCTCTGAGTCGCATTATGCAAAAACCAAAAGCACCAAAATGAAACAATCTGATTTGTAGCTGATTATGACTGACGGCCTTCGAGTTCTCTCCCCTCCCAGCTCTTTCTATTCAGAAAGTGTGGACATCCGCTAAATCACCATTTTGACCTCATTCACATTCATGACTAAAGCCTAATGCTTGAGTTTCGTTCTGTTTCTTACCTTTTTCTATTCTAAAAGTGCAGATATCCACACTAAATTGCCATGGATTCATTTTATTTACATGTATGCTAATGTGAAAAGCCTAAAGCTTGAGTTTTGCTCCACAAGTGAGGATTTTTAAAACTTTTTCTATTCTAAAAGCACAAATATCTTCATCAAAACCATTTATTCACATGCATGTTAATGACTAAAGCTTAAAGCTTGAGTTTTTTCCCCACAAATGAGGATTTTCCCAACTTTTTCTATTTGAAAAGTGTAGATATCCACACCTAATCACCAATTATTCACATATATGTCAACATTAAAAGCCTAAAGCTTGAGTTTTTTGCTCCACAGGTGAGGATTTTTAAAACTTCTTCTATTCTAAAAGCACAAAAATCTTCATCAAATCACCATTTATTCACATTTATGTTCATGACTGAAGCCTTATGCTTGATTTTTCTCCACAAATGAGGATTTTCTGAACTTTTTCTGTTCTAAAAGTGCAGATACCAACACAAAAATCACCATTTAAGCTCATGACTGAAGCCTAATTGTTGAGTTCTGCTCGACAGAGCAGGTTTTCTGAGTTTGCTGATGTCTGTCCGTCACCTTTCAGTGCCTTTTCTGTCAGTCAGAAAGTGGCAAAGCCAGTTTGCTGCGGACACACTTGAGTAAAACCTCTGGAACTCAGATTGAGGCAGGAATGTCCTCGGAAAGTCAGTCAAAGCTGTTTCTTATGGTCTAAAACCGTGCTGTTGTGCTCTGAGAGCCTGTTTTGGAGCCGGAGCCCGAAGCTGGTGGACTATTTTGGTGAGGAATGTGTCGGTTTGACCCACCTTCTCTCCCCGCTGCTCTCGCCGCGGCCCCGACCAGCAGCAGCCACACCAACCGAAAACTTCTCACCGCCTCCATCGCTGCTCTCCTCCGCCGCTTTAGTCCATAATCTCTCCCCCGTTTAGCTCCTCAGCGAGTCCCCGAGAGGCGCGTCGACCCCACGGCCCGGTAATCACAGTGAAAATCGCTTTTAAAACGGTATCCCAGCGGTGTTTTTCCTCCTCGCCCCGTTTCCAAGCTCTACAACTTCCTGTGAGGGACTGTGAGTAAGCTCGACTTTGGCAGCTCGGGAACGCGCTTCCCTCAGGCGCGCTCGCGGGCACGGGAGGGGAGGGGCGGGGCACATCGTTAGTACTCGGGGAAAGCCACGCCCACTGTGCTGGGATTGGCTAGTGGCTCTTTCACGCTGTAGTTCAGGGCCTCTCGGCGGACTACTTGAGCCTATTGCTAGCCAATCATAGAGCAGGAGGCTGAGTATCAGCCAATACCACAGGAGACGGTCGAGTATTAGCCAATCACAGAGCAGGAGGCGGGGTTTGACTCCAGCCGCTGCCTTGGGTCATTCAGTTCTGGGCTCCATTGTGATTGTGCATCGCACTGATTGAGTGGGAAATTAAAGCTGGACCGGTCAGTTATTCACGGGCAGCTGCACAGATTGTTTTCAGACACCGGAGAAGCCTAGTTTTGACATGTTTGTCCGACGTTTGAGGCACACAGTACACAGTCACCTGCTAGTACATGGGGTTATCATATGTCATTTGGGGGGGGGGTCCAACAGCGACGACGTGTAACAATAATATATCCCATATATATAGTGTATAGATTTAAGCACCCACCCCCCCACACACACACATAAATGTACATTTCTTATTGATTTTATAAGTGAAAATAAAGTTTAAATGTGCTATTTTCTGTACATCTTCCACAATTTCTATTTAAAATAGTTTAAAATTTAGGGTAAAAAACATAACATAAAATAATAACATAAAACAATAACAACATAAAAACATAAAAAATGTCCCATCAACATTCACACAGGCCACATTTTCTGTTGTCTTTTCCCCCATTATGTAAAATTCAGCAGTAATTATGTTCAGAAGTGTCCTCTGTATGAATCTGTCTCTTATGTATTATTTAAGCATTATATGCATTTCTAACCACTTCTTAATGCATATAAAGCTTATATAATACATATGGGATATACAAGGTGTCCCAAAAAAACTGACATCATTTGAGATGTGAATGTCTGAGTAACTACATGTCCTGGCAAACTAAATTAAATAGGCTTCATGTTGACCAATACAAGATTTATTTATCAAAATTCAAACAAGAAATTCAGAGAAATGTAGATTTTATAACCGATTTCACAGCTTCACAAATGTAATATCTTCCGATACTGGTGGTCGTCCAGATCGCTTTGTCCTGCACAGACAGCCTTCCTCTTTGAATTGTTTGTGCCATGTCCAAATCTGCTTTCCAGTTGGTGCATTTTTACTAAATCTTCTTGTCGTTTGACTGTGTTTGAGCATATTCTAACACACAAAATGCCTTTTCATTTCTAGTGAACGCCGTTCTTCAACCTGGAAAAACACATTAAGAATTAAACTTGGTTAGTTTAAATTCTGTTAAAATTTAAGATCATTTGAGGGAGAATTGGCTGTTATTAGACTACGAAATGATGTCAGTTTTTTTGGGACACCCTGGATATACATATATATATATGTATATATATATATTATATATATATATATGTATATATATACATATATACATGTGTGTGTGTGTGTGTGTATGTATGTATATATTTTTTAAATGTGTATATATGTATGTACGTGTATAAATATGTGCATGTATGTATATATATATATATATATATATATACACATATATATATATTCTGGAGCTATTCGGTCCCTACAGAGAGATAAATACACACACAAGGCCGATCTGACTATGAACTGCAGTAAACTCCACGCACTCACTGATCACAAGCGTGTTTGTATCCCAGGCTTTCAGTACGAGACGGAGGGAAGAGGAGGAAGAATAAGCTCCATTCACACAAAACTGTCCAGCCTCCTCCCACGCTCCTGCTGACCACAGTCCAGCCCACTGTGTGTGTGTGTGTGCTTTTGCCTATAATGTGTCTTTATTGTCTGAAGTGTGAAGCGCTTTGAGCTACACTGACTCCATTCCACGGACTTCAGTACAGTTATGACTGGACAGGAATTTTCTGAGTCTTCTCCCATACTTTTACTTTTACTTCAGTGTATTTGTGAGGATAGAAATGTACTTTTTCTCCCAGTTCCATTTCAGCCATTCACACTGATTTAGGACCAGCAGCTGGATTCAAAAACTTTTTCACACAACAACAACAACAACAACAACAACAGTACAGAAGTACAGAAAAGATTTAAAAAACAGTTCTTAAATACAATTCTCAAAAAAAACAACACACACTTATATTATATATTTAAATAAATACATAAACATATATATATTTTTAGGCTTATAAACTTATAAACTAATGTATAGGTTTTGTAGAGAGAAGTGTGAGATCACCAGGGAGGAGTACTCAGGGCCTTCTAGGCCTTCAGGCTGCCTGATATCTGAGACATCGTTTGAATACAGTTTTGAGACATGATTGTGGCCTAAAATGCATTTTTTAAAAAATCCATTCATAGTGAAGAAGTAAGTGTAAAATAGTTCCTATAGTAAACTTACATTATGATCATACAACATTACATGCAACGTCCATGTATGAACTGTAATGGCCACAAAATGTTCATGTGCACCAGTATAAGCTTAGTGCTAACCTACTATTAGAAATCCCAAAGGAGCGCTAAGAGAAATGAGCATCATCAGAGTGTTTGACTCGAGTTTTGACATTTTTCTACCTCGCTCAGCCGTCTTCATCACGGCAATGAGAAACTGATCCAGGGTCAGCAGGCTGAGGCTGAGGTTCTTCTGGTGTCACCCTGCAGGCCTTTTTATTTGTGATTCTGAAGTCTAGACCTTCTGTCATCACAGACTGGTGATGAATTTCAGCCTACAGTATTTCCTTCTCTTCTCCTCGTCTCACACAGCAGTTTGGAGTTAGCAGTTTCTTTACTACAGTAGAAAACAACAGTAGATATGAAGGCCTGAGTATGAAATTTTGTGGCTGATTTATGTTTCATTTTTTTAACCCAATTTTCTCTGAGGTCAGTTAAGCTTTTCTGGACATCTGATTACAGATGGCTGTGGTAGCGCCTGGGATCAATCTCCCCACAACAGGGCCAACAATATATAACCAGAGAGATAATCAGCTCTGCATTGTCACACCTTCTAAAATTAAACAGCAGAAACTAACAGTGTCTTTATATATATATGTATATATATACACTGATCAGGCATAACATTATGACCACCTCCTTGTTTCTACACTCATTGTCCATTTTATCAGCTCCACTTACTATATAGGTGCACTTTGTAGTTCTACAGTTACAGACTGTAGTCCATCTGTTTCTCTGATACTTTGTTAGCCCCCTTTTACCCTGTTCTTCAGTGGTCAGGACCCCCATGGACCCTCACAGAGCAGGTACTGTTTGGGTGCTGGATCTTTCTCAGCACTGCAGTAACACTGACGTGGTGGTGGTGTGTTAGTGTGTGTTGCGCTGGTATGAGTGGATCAGACACAGCAGTGCTGCTGGAGTTTTTAAACACCTCAGTGTCACTGCTGGACTGAGAATAGTCCACCAACCAAAAATATCCAGCCAACAGCATCCTGTGGGCAGCGTCCTGTGACCACTGATGAAGGACTAGAGGATGACCAACACAAACTGTGCAGCAGCAGATGAGCTATCGTCTCTGACTTTACATCTGCAAGGTGGACTGACAAGGTAGAGTGTCCAATAGAGTGGACAGTGAGTGGGCACAGTGTTTAAAAACTCCAGCAGCACTGCTGTGTCTGATCCACTCAGACCAGCACAACACACACTAACACACCACCACCACGTCAGTGTCACTGCAGTGCTGAGAATGATCCACCACCCAAATAGTACCTGCTCTGTGAGGCTCCATGGGGGTCCTGACCACTGAAGAACACAGTATGAAGTTGTGCGTGGTTCTGTAGTGAGCATCATGCCACCATGGGGACTCTCAGCAGGTTTTCTCTATGGGAAAAATGAGTGGCATTTTCAGAAATCATTGCTATCTGACCCTGTGGGAAACTACAATGTTCCAAACCTGATATGTAAGTCTAGAACTACACTTCCTCATTAATATATAATATCAGCTGCTCAAACTACAGGCTACCACTGCCAAAGCAACTACTACGTTTGGCCAAGCTTGGTGGTTAGCGTGGGGCATTTTGGGGGAGCTGCCAGTCTTATGATGTCAGCTCACAGGAAAAATGTACCCAGGACAAAATGTACCAGGTTGGTTTGAAACATGTTTGGTTACAGGGTGCCATAGCGGAGGTTACTGAAGACGCCGTTCATTTTTCCCCATAGAGAAATACTACTAAGGCCCAGAGCTCCTAATACAGGCGTGACATTGACTATAGAATGATGCACAACTTTAGAGGCCTGTTTCAGCCCTGGGGGCGGAGCCACCCAGACCAAATAGAAATAAAAATAAAAAAACAAATAAAAAATTAGAAACTGCAACTACAGAGCCCTGCTCTGTGACGTCCTGTTTAAATAAAAGTAACGCACCACCACGAGTTAGTAAGGCGTGGGAACAAGATAATTAAGTCGAGGCCACGACTTAGTAAGGCATGGGAATGAGATCCTAATGCGTGGCCACAACTTAGTAAGGCATGGGAACAAGATTATTAAGTCACCACAACTTAGTAAGGCATGGGAATAAGATCCTAATGCGTGGCCACGACTTAGTGAGGCATGATCTTGTTCCCACACCTTACTAAGTCGTGGCCACAACTTAATTATCTCGATCCCACGTCTTACTAAGTCGTGGCCATGCATTAGGATCTTGTTCCCATGTCTTACTAAGTCATGGCCACGCATTAGGATCTCGTTTCCATGCCTTACTAAGTCGTGGCGACTTAATTATCTTGTTTCCACGCCTTACTAAGTCGTGGCCACGCATTAGGATCTCGTTCCCACATCTTACTAAGTTGTGGCCACGCATTAGGATCTCGTTCCTACGCCTTACTAAGTTGTGGCAACTTAAATGTCTTGTTTCCATGCCTTGCTAAGTCGTGGCCATGCATTAGGATCTCGTTCCCGTGCCTTACTAAGTTAATAAGGCGTGGCCACGCATTATGTTTATTTATATGGGATGTCACCAGCAGGGCTCCGTAC